GTTCCGTCATTTATGAATTTACGTGCCAGTGTGATTCTGGCTACGTAGGGCGCACAACCCAAAGATTGGGGGATAGGATAAAACAGCATGTTCCTTCCAACATACGAAACAAAACTGCCCCTCAAAGAGATCAGCCTCCTCGATCTTGTAGGTCTAGAAACACTGTTAAAACAAGTGATTCTGCCATTGGTCAACATCTTTTAGACAACCCAGATTGTGCAAAACTCTATAATGACGACATGTTTCGGATAATTGGCAGATCCCTGTCGTCCATCCATCCAGCAGTTTTGGAGTCAATCTACATAAAAACGAAAAAACCGCCTTTGTGTAGACAAAAGGAGTTCGTTTTCTCTCTTGGACTCCATTGGTAATTTTTCTTTAGGCTCGCGGCACTGATTGGTCAACTATACCGGTCTTGTGCTTGCGTTTTTCTGATTGGCCTATTTCGATCCACAACTGGGTATATACTTTTCCATCTTGTTTTTTCGGAACCTATTCTGACGTTTTATGCTCTGAGGAGTGTCAGACAAAAAAGCTTTTAGTATGTTGTAAAATGTTTGCTTTTTTCAAAGCCATTTTCAAATTCTGTACCGCAAAAAAATTGTTCACATTTTTCAAGCATATGTACACTAAACAGGAGATTGAGGATCTCAACCAACTGGTGAAGTTAAGAGGTAAGCTGAGGATGGCCAGGTTCTCTTTATCATTTCTCAATTTATGTTTGACTAACCGAGTTGTGCCAAAATTTATCACCGCTCGTATTTCCAAGTCTGGATTTAGACAAAGTCCAACCATTGAGCGCGTTTTTCTCCAAGATGAGATTCAGAAAAGAAAAACCAATGTTTTGAACTTAAAATGCCTGTATACACGCCAATTGTCTAAAACGCGTCCATTTCTTTCATTCCTTGACAATTTTCGAATTTGCCGCTACATTTCTGAAATTGACCAGCGGACACTAAAACATACCACGGAAAAACACAATAGGAATATTGGCTTGCTAGTAAGGAAACGTTTCGGTGGCATGTTGAGCGACACCAAAAAACATATTTTTAATTTCTCGGATTATTCTCTCTCTGATACTGAAACATTTGTCTTAGGTAATGGACTTGAATTTTGTATCCCACCCCTAACAATCAACAGAGAGGAACTCTTTGCTGAATTCGAAATTTTACACGCTCAACTTGCCAAGCACGAGATTTCTAACCCTTTGGAGTTTAACAAATTACGAGCACGACTAAGCGATTTGGCGTACGCTTACAGCGGCTCTCCCATCGACCACTCAGATTTTCTTTTGCATAGAGAACATTTCCAAGCACTAAAATCTCTACGGGCTAACAATGACATCTTTATTACAAAACCTGATAAAGGGTCTGGAGTGGTAATTTTAAACAAAAAGGACTACATCAATAAAATGGAGGTAATTCTCCACGACAAAGAAAAATTTGCTAAATTGGGTGATGTCGAAACACATGACAAAACGGCCAAACTAGAGCGGAAACTCCAAAAACGTTTGTTGGAACTGGTCAACTCAAAAATGTTGGCTACAGAAATTTATGATAGGATAAGACCCACGGGCTCTCAACGACCACAAATGTATGGCCTCCCTAAAATACACAAGCCGAACGTCCCACTTAGACCTATCTTGTCTATGATTGGCTCAGCACAACACGAACTGGCTAAGTGGCTTTCTGAAGTTTTGGACCCTGTTCTTCAAAAATATTCAAAACATTGCATCAAGGATTCTTTTACGTTCGCTGAGTTCATGCAAAACTTGAACATCGAAAACGAAACATCTTTCATGTGTTCTTTTGACATTAGTAGTCTTTTCACAAATGTTCCTTTGAGTGAGACCATCAAAATATGTGCCGACGCTTTGTACCGGAGCGAGCTTAATAGCCCACCATTCCCAGAGGAAGTATTCATTGAACTGATGGAAACTGCAACACGTTCAGTTGAATTCAGTTTTAACAATGAAATGTACCAACAAAAGGATGGTGTCGCTATGGGTAGCCCTCTGGGACCTGCCTTGGCCAATATCTTTGTTGGCTTTCATGAAGAGCGTTTGTTCGACTACGACCAAAAGCCAGGTGTCTATTTTCGGTATGTGGATGACACATATACCATTTTCAAAACAGAGGCTGAGTGTGATATTTTTCTAAAACACCTAAATAGCCTACACCCAGCCCTCCAGTTTACGTTTGAAAAGGAAGAAAATGATTCCTTACCATTTTTAGATGTTTTGGTCGAAAAGTCTAACACTGAATTTCTTACCAGTGTATATCGCAAGCCTACTTTTACCGGTCAGTACATACGCTGGAATTCATTTTGCCCAAACAACGCAAAGTCAACCTTGTCAAAACATTAGTACATAGGGCACTTATGATCTGCTCGAAATCTAAACTGCACGCTGAACTGGAAAAACTCAAAACGATCTTCTTGGACAACGGCTATCCTGAAGACGTCATTTTATCTTATACTAAGGAGAAGATCGCAAGTTTTTCGGCTGTTCAAAAGTTTGGTCCGCAAAAGTGCCCAGTTTATTTGAAACTACCATGGATTGGTAACACTTCCTTGCGATTCGAGAGTCAGATTAGGCAAGCCATAACCAATTGTTTCTTTGCTGTCAATCCTCGGATTGTTTACAGCACTAGGAGAGCCCTTCCATCCATTCAAAAGGATTGCGTCCCTACCAGACAAAAAAGTTCCGTCATTTATGAATTTACGTGCCAGTGTGATTCTGGCTACGTAGGGCGCACAACCCAAAGATTGGGGGATAGGATAAAACAGCATGTTCCTTCCAACATACGAAACAAAACTGCCCCTCAAAGAGAACAGCCTCCTCGATCTTGTAGGTCTAGAAACACTGTTAAAACAAGTGATTCTGCCATTGGTCAACATCTTTTAGACAACCCAGATTGTGCAAAACTCTATAATGACGACATGTTTCGGATAATTGGCAGAGCCCGGTCGTCCTTCCATCTAGCAGTTTTGGAGTTAATCTACATAAAAACGAAAAAGCCGCCATTGTGTAGACAAAAGGAGTTCGTTTTCTCTCTTGGACTCCATTGGTAATTTTTCTTTAGGCTCGCGGCACTGATTGGTCAACTATACCGGTCTTGTGCTTGCGTTTTTCTGATTGGCCTATTTCGTTCCACAACTGGGTATATATTTTTCCATCGTGTTTTTTCGGAACCTATTCTGACGTTTTATGCTCTGAGGAGTGTCAGACGAAAAAGCTTTAAGTATGTTGTAAAATGTTTGCTTTTTTTCAAAGCCATTTTGAAATGAAAGACAACAAATGACTCGCAAAATTCACAGCTACACAAAAAACTTAATTTCCTCCACTTTTTCTATCGCTTATATTTTACAAATTTGTTAGAACCCTCTAGTTCTGTTCTTCAAAGCCTAAATGACAGACCAGATAAACAGTAATTTCCATTCATTTGGATGTTGTTTAGAAAATAAACCTTGATGGATGGGATGCTTATCCCTAGCACCACCTCAAGTCACGGAACATTAAGAACACTAATAAGCATTCCGAAAAATAAATTTCTTTAAAGAACTCAAGTTTTCAAAAGTAAGTTTTTATTTAAACAAAAACAACACTCAGGTTAAAAGTCAATCGTGGTGTCCAGGGAAGGTTTCGAGTGCATGCAGTGTTCCCAAACTTAAAATGGTAGGTCGGATAAAAGACATGAATAAAAATAAGGGAAAGAGTAATGTCACTCTTCAGCAGCACTCGCTTGCAGGAAAATAACAGCGAATTTCAAGTGTCCTGGTATCTCTGTAATGCCGCACTATAAATGAACCATGTGTAAACAAGCGTTCAAGTTTCTTGGAAAATGATTTTGTAGCCAATTGCCCTTCTCTTATAAAAATACAACTTGCTTTGAAGACTCATTTTTCATTTTCTTGATCGGGCAGCATAATTGGCGCTGATCCTGCTTTTGAATTCCAACCAAAATATTTATTTCTTCTGAAAAAAGTAAAATGGTCAGATTCTCTTTCTAGTCTTCTTTTTGACTGGTTGCAATTCTGGCGCTTGCTCCGTCTAAAAGTGGAAAATAGATTGCTTGGTTTTAAACGATCTCATGTTAACAATCTACAAGACAAAGAAATCGATGCACAGAAACAATGTTTTATGATGTTACGCTTGGAACGGTACTATAGGAAACCAAAAGTGAAATTAGATAAGAGTATTTGCTCCATATTTTGTATTTTGAAAACTAAAACATCAAGAACGTCAAAAGAGATAAAAATTGTATCGAAATAAATATACCGAAATGGACAAAACTAGGAACAACAAACAACCTCAGGTGCATTGTCTTCTTTTACATGATTAGACGAAATAGCCTGCAATCATGAGAAGGTCAGGATGAGTATGAAGTCAAAGCAATCAATTAATCAGAACATCAGTATAAAAAGCAAAGGTAAATTTGAAATGAAAGGTAACGAGGATAGATCGAAGATGACCAGGGTGCATCAGTTGCCTCATTAATTGTCAAAATAGGGGACGGCTGGGCAACTTGATACTTTATTCACCCTGTTTAATCAAAACCCTGGGCAGCATTTTGTGAACCACTTAACTGTATCATTGTTATCTAACATTGGTTCTCTCTGGGTCTTGAGTGATGACTGTAGGCAACAAAAGATGGAAAATTTGCTAAAACTACTTTCAAAATCAATACAATTATTATTGCACTTGGTGACAGATGCATGTAAATTTAACGATGACATGATTCCAAAGAATTTTAGGCAACAATGCGTGAAATAAAAGACATACCTTACTCAGTTTTTCCCGTATTTGTAAGGCTACTTCATCAAGGTGATGGTCGCCAGTCTGCAAAGGTAACAAAACTTTTTGATTTAAAACGAAAAAAGACTAAAAAAACACTAGTTGCTGCAACAATATCGAAGCGCAGAAACAAACAAGAAAATAAACTTGTTTAAATAGATGAATAAGATTCATCAATATAAATAAATCTCAAATAAGATTTAAAAGAAATTTTAAAAATGTTCAAACCCGAAAAAAGGTTGCGCCTATAAGCTCAAATTTGTCGACAATAACTTTACAAATGCTGTTAATAGGCAACTGTCATACTCTAGCTACAGTCTTTAAAATTTAGGCTGATTTCACCGTACATCGCTAGTCAGAAGACGTCAGAAGCACGTAAGAAAACTGACAAACCCCGTAAGTATGCTCTACATAAAAATCAACTAAAACAGGAAGCTAGTTCCTCGCCATATGCAATAGTATGGATAAAGCTGAGTATGGATAAAGCACCAGGAGAAAATATTATTAAAACACAAACAAGTGATTTCTCATTAAAAAATGAAAGTAACAAATGGACTAATTAACAGTCCCTAATACTTACAAGTGATTTCAACTGCTTTCTTTCATGAGCATGGGGGTCCCTTGAAAATTAAAAGTAATTAATTATAGGATAAAACCTCAGAAACCATGCATAAACCATGAATAATTATATTTAATTTGGAAACTCCTTTTTGTTAGCTAAAAATAAATGCATATACTGAACTGGAAAAAAATTGAAATTATAATAGAAAAACAAAGAATTGAAAAACATATTTCAAAGAGGAAGGTTACGTATGATGTGATAAAAAAAATGAGACAACGAGTATAAATAAAATGGAAAAAATCTTGCGATTTGTGTTACCGATACTTTTAATGTCCTGATGATTTTGAAAATTTGCGGGAAACTTTGACATGTCCTGCGGGAAATTCTGACAAAATTCTGACAAATTTGCAGGACGAGTTCAGAATATATTATTGGCTTTATTCTTAGTTATAAACCATTTGATGCTTAACATTACAAGTTTGCTATTACTTAATTCACCTAAAAGGACTAGGTCAGTTTAAGTACACGTAATGTGTAGTAATATTAGCGTTAAAATAAAGTACCTTGCAGGTTTCGCAATTCGTCATTGGGATTAAGAAGCAATTAAAAAGGCAGAAAAAAGAAACAGCCCTTCCAATTACTTTCTAAGACATTTTTTTAAAAAAAGGTTGAAAAGAAGACAAAATGTTTGGGAAGATCACAATGTATGCCCTTCTGAAATCACTTTTCTCTGTAACCACATGCTGTTCACATTTAGTTAGCAAATGTCATTCACGATTTATATCTTCAACTTTACGATATTTTGAAAGGGAATAAATTGCTGTTAAATAAAGGAGGTCTTAATAGTTTGAAACAGAATAATTTGTTACAAAGATAAATTAACATAAATACCAAGCTCCTGGTTCAGGTAAAGGCCGACGGTCAGCACTTTGAATTGGTTTTGGAACGGAGGGAGGTTTGTGCCAAACAATCCTTCTCGACTTCTGAGGTCCATCAATATTTGACCTTGAATTCGAGGAGTTTCGATCTGAATTGGAAGTACTTGTTGAATGCCCATGGCATTCGCCTTTCGGTTTGCTACTAACGGAGGCTGAATGGCTGCTCATTTCAACATTTACTGACGTCATTGCATTGACCTTAACATCATATGGCAGACTAGCATCTTTCGTTGGTAATCTAGGAAATTCTGGAGGGGGTGGTGGGGGCGGTGGAGGATACAGAAAAGGTGGGAGGTGCATAGGCGGTAGAGGTAACTGGGGGTAAGGGGACATCTCTATTGATGAATTTTGATTCGTATCAAATGTCTGTGCAATGCTTGAGGATTCTTTCGCCAACACTTGCGATGAAGCACCACCGGGTTCCTCCTGGCTTTGAAAAGAGTTTGTCGATGTTTCTGCATTGACTGCTTGTTTGTGTTCTTTATTTTCAGTTCGAGAACTGTACTGATCAGGGTAGTACTCTGCAAAGAATGTAATGCACAAATTTTTGCAAAACTTTCGGAGATCAATCTGCTGCCATACTTTTGTTAGGGGTTCTCAAACAAAATTTGGAAACAATTTTTTGGTGGTACAGAATTCAAAAATGGTTTTGAAAAAGCAAAAAACTACTGGACTGTACATTATTTGCTGCACACTTAGATATTCTAAAATCACTGCAAGGTAGAATACACCCTTCCTTGTCATTGACTCGTTGAGAAATGTTGATTAGAATGCATCTGTTATCGCGTTAATTGTTTAAGACTTTTCATATTGTTACTTTATTCATCCTGCCTACCTATAACCCTAGGAGATCAACAACAAATGTTTTTAACCAAAAAAGCTAACCTCTACACTTCCTTGCCACCTGTTGCCTTCTTTCTCTAAGCTTCTCTCTAGTATCATCTACTGTTTCAAATTCTGGAGCGTAGCAAACGTGAAGTACTCCGCCATAGAAAGACCTCATATCAAGCTTCTTTTTGGCGAACCTACAATAAGAAATAAGATTTAATACTTGAATGCATGAATAATTATAATTCTATACTCAGAAAATTCAGCAATGATCATGTTGACTTTCACAAAGGGGAATTTCAAAGTATCTCTATTAAAAAACGGAATGAATGAGTCCAGCTGTTTTTAAACATTGATTTTGTTTTCATAATTTGTTGCTGAAAGGAGAATAATATTGTACTTGGTATGACTTGTTGATAACAATTTTTTTGAAAAAAAGCTACTTTCTAATTTCATTTTTTTGTTTTTAATCCGTTTTTCTACCTACAATTAATTGTTATTGTATTCCATTTTTTCCTCAGTTTTGTCATGTAAAAAGATTAAGGCAATCATTTCAACACTCAGGATTAAAAATGTTATTCTCATCTACAGAAACAATCACCAGACGATGAGACGAATCGTGAAAAATAATAGAAATAAAACAGCTAACAGGATAAAAATGCAGATATTGTTTTATAAGAAAATACCAAAAGACAATCAGCATGATAAGAAACAAGACAGGTGCAAGCAGCAAAAAAAATGTAAAAATTTGATTATAAATATCCCTATTTTCAAATTACAAGAAAGGAGATTCATTTAAACAAATGTATTTATTATTCAGAAACAACCTAAAACATGTTTCCTGAAAAAGATGCCAGCATTTCAAATACATCCCACATCATCCCAGACTCCGAGTATAGCTCTTCAAAAACAAACAGGGCCAACAGAGTCAGGTGGAAAAATGAAGTTTCAAATAGATTCAAATGCCTTGATTAACAGATCAATTCAGGATTATATATACAACACAAGGCACTGTAAAAAACAGAAACAATATGGATTGTCATAAGTAACATATAGTTACCAGCAATCTAATGATCACAAAGGGACTTGAAATTTAAAGACTTTAAAACCAGCTTGCTTTGCTTGTTGTGTGAGAATCAAATGAAGCCAATTTCATTCAAAAAGATTAATAGAGATATCAACAAACTAAAGAAGAAACTGTCTCAATATAGTCTACACACCGAGCTGATTGAATCTTTTGGAATTTAATCCAATAAACATCTGTGAACTCTTCTCCAGGATACTCATCTAAGTACCTATATCTATAAATGAAAAAATGAACAAAGAGAAATGAATACTAAGTTAGAAATAGATATAAGTTAGGATTCACTAGAAA